GGACTGACCGGGGCGGCTCAGGACTTCATGGCCTCTATGACGGCCATGGGCCTGTCTCAACACGTCACTGGCCCTACCCATGAACGTGGACACACTCTGGACCTGGTATTCACGACGGGGCAGGTAGAGGATGACCTGAGGGTGAAGAACTTATGTTTGACTCCCCTGTCATGGTCAGATCACCTCCTGGTGAGGTTTGTGCTCGAGAGCGGCCTCTCCCTCTATAAGAGTGCGGACCCGATTGTATGGGCCCGCCCCCGGAGCCGGATGGATCCGGATGGATTCCTGGGGGCCCTGGGGGAATTTCCGGCTGACAAGACTGGTGCTCCTGTCGAGGCTCTGGTCGAACTGTGGAACGGAGAGATGACCAGGGCTGTGGACACAATCGCTCCTAAGCGTCCTCTCCCACCGGGCAGAGTCCGCTCTTCCCCTTGGTATACACCTGAATTACGGGCGATGAAGCGAGTTGGGAGACGGCTAGAGCGTAGGTGGAGGAAATCACGGGATGAATCTGACCGAACACACTTGAGAGCCCACTATCGGGCCTATGCTGTGGCGGTGAAGGCGGCGAAAAAGAAGTTTTTTTCTGCTTCCATTGCCTCCTCACAATGCCGTCCAGCGGAGCTTTTTCGAGTGGTGCAAGGCCTGGTTCGCCTGGGTCCTAAGGAAGATCCGATGCCACCCTCAAAGGCCTGCTGTGACGACTTTGCCAGGCATTTCAGGGAGAAAATCGCTCAGATTCATCATGAGCTGGACTCCACTAATGAATCAGAGGTCTCTGAGGAGTCGCCAATGCTACCGTCTGGTCCAAAATTACTGGAGGAATTTCAATTATTGCGGCCCAATGATGTGGACAAGGTGCTTGGAAGAGTACGTCCCACCACGTGCCTATTGGATCCTTGCCCGTCTTGGTTAATAAATAACTCCAAGCACGGGATTGGGACCTGGATTTTGGAAGTGGTTAACGCTTCTCTGAGGGAGGGTCGAGTGCCTGCCCCTTTAAAGGAGGCGGTAATACGACCGGTCCTGAAGAAAGCGTCACTGGATCCAGAGATGGCCACTAACTATAGACCTGTGGCCAACATCCCGTTTCTGGGCAAGGTGCTGGAGCGAGTGGTGGCGGGACAACTCCAAGCACTCTTGGAGGAAACTGATTATCTGGATCCTTTTCAGTCCGGCTTCAGACCCGGGTACAGTACTGAATCTGCCTTGGTCGCCCTGTACGATGACCTGTGCAGGGAGAAGGACAGGGGGAGTACATCCCTGTTGGTTCTTCTGGACCTCTCGGCGGCTTTCGATACCATCGACCATGGTATCCTTCTGGATAGACTTGCGGGATTGGGGGTTGGAGGCACTGCTTTGCAGTGGTTCCGCTCCTATCTCGACGGTCGATTCCAGAAGGTAGTGCTGGGGGACCATGTCTCTACGTCATGGCAGCTATGCCATGGGGTACCACAGGGCTCCATTCTATCCCCTCTGCTATTTAACATCTATATGAAACCGCTGGGAGAGGTCATCAGGAGGTGTGGGCTGCGGAATCATCAATACGCTGATGATACCCAGCTTTACCTCTCATTCTCCACTAATCCAGGTGAGGCAGTGGCTGTGCTGAACCGGTGCTTGGCCGAGGTAAGGGAATGGATGAGGGCCAATAAACTGAAACTCAACCCAGACAAGACGGAGGTCCTGTTGGTTGGCGGATCGGGTTTCGGAGAGGGTGGATTTGACCTGGTCCTGAATGGTGCAACACTCCCTCTTAGGGATAAGGTCCGCAGCTTAGGTGTACTCCTCGACCCGGAGCTTTCTTTGGAAGCTCAGGTGACAGCGGTAGCGAGGAACGCCTTCCTTCAGCTTCGGCTGATTAATCAGCTGCGCCCCTACCTGGAATACGACTGCCTGGCGACGGTGACACACGCGCTGGTGACTTCCCGCCTAGACTTCTGTAACGCGCTTTACGTGGGGCTTCCCCTGAAGACAGTCCGAACACTTCAATTGGTGCAAAATAGAGCTGCCAGGTTGCTGACGGGGACGGGGCGTTATGCTCACATGACTCCAGTCCTCCATCAGCTTCACTGGCTTCCCATTGAAGCCCGGGCCCAATTCAAGGTGTTGATTATGACCTACAAAGCCCTAAACGGCTTGGGTCCTGGCTACCTGCACGAGCGCTTACGTCCGTATATGCCCGACCGCCCTTTGAGATCTGCGGGAGAGTCCCTTCTCCGGGAACCCTCCATGAAAGAAATTAGGAGAGTAAGTACCCGGAGGAGGGCTTTCTCTGCGGTGGCGCCCAACCTATGGAATTCACTCCCCAAAGAGGTCCGCCTGGCACCGTCGTTACTGGTTTTTCGGCGCCAGGTAAAGACCTTTTTATTTAAACATCATTTCAATTGTTAAAACATATGATCTGGCCTGGGCAACTTCTTCTTCCTTCTCTTTCTCCTCCTATATTTTTATTTTATACTGATAATTTTAATTTTGTATTTGTAAATCAATGTATTTTTTGTATTGTTATATTTAATGGTAATTTATTATGTACTATTGTATTTCAATGTATTTTATCATGTTGTAAGCCGCCCCGAGGTTTCGGCAAGGGGCGGCATAGAAATGTTATAATAATAATAATAATAATAATAATAATAATAATAATAATAATGTAGAGTGACTTATGCAAAACATGCATGTATTACATTTTTAGGCCTCAGAAACATTCCTCTAAGTTATTTTTATGTATGTAACTATTTCTGTTTTGATTGCTTAATCAATATAACTAGCTCCAAATATATCAGACCCCAGAAGGATCTTTCAATATCTCTGTATAAACTAGTCTACCAGTTTTCAGATGAGACATTTTTTTTATTTATATCCTGCCCTTTTCCTACAAAGGCCTCAAGGCAGCTTACATCATTCTCCTCCTCCATCTTATCCCCACAACAACAACCCTGTGAGGTAGGTTGGGCTGAGAGTCTGTGACTGGCCCAAAGTCACCCAGTTGGCTCCATGGCTGAGCGGGGACTAGAACCCAGACTGCCTGAGTCCCAGTCCCATGCTCTTAACCACTACACCACACTGGCTCTTTTCAGATAATAGAGCATAGAAGTTCTTTAAAAGTAGGTAAAAAATTGACCCAGAATGCAATCTTGTACACAGTCAAGTTGCTTAAGTTTCACTGATACTGAATTAATAGCATAGTTGTGTTCAGGTGCTGGAAGCTTATAAGACATTATAACTTAATTTATTTTAAGACAAATAGTTGTAGAAACTTGTAGTAAGGTTTCTGCTTGCATATAAGAGAAGTATAGATTGCATAATATAAGCATGGGATAACTAACAGAACCAAAATTATTAGGTATGGTAAAATATTGGTTCATTAAGCCTCAGAATAAACTAGTAATTTGTACTTTGGAAAAGACAGAAATTAAAGAGAATAGGTGGTCAATATATGTTTTTTTAGATATGTTGCCAACCACAAGGTAAAGGAGACAGGATGCTTAAAGAAAAGTTAGGAGCTTTTCTAGTTTCTTTGGAATTAGTAAAAATGTCAGTAGTGATGCTTGTAAGCGGAAGGAACTATGATTTGGAGTAAGGAGTTTAAATGAAGGTAGACCACCTTATCATAACTAATCAGTAAGCAGGATGGCTACCAAATAGGAGGATATTAGATAAAGGGATAGCTGAGGACTTTAAGGTACAGAGTAAAGGTTTACTTGATGGGCAAGACCCTACCTTTAATCTCACTCTAAGAATACCTCTTTGTAGTGATAAAGAATCTCTGATAGCAGATTTGGTGTGAATCTAATTCTCTTCTTGCTATTTTTGTATTAAGTATGAAAGGTCTCTGTGTGCATATGACTTTTGCTGAATAAAAGCATTCCGATATCTTTTAAACTCTTTTTAGTGTGTTTGCAAGTCAGCACATATCAGCATCAAGACAGCTACTTCTAGTCTGCACCAAATTTTAGTAGATAGGCAATGGGAACCTGTCACAAATTCTAAACTAAAGGTGTGTAAAAAGACCTTCATTAAAATTAAATTTCCCTATATAGGACAGTAGACCCTAGACTAAAAAAGCAAGACATTTCACTGTTAACAAACATACTCTCTGATCAATCATTGCAAATTGATAATTTGTATTTTTAGTTACATTCCATATTTTTAGTTTATTATTTTATTTGGAATTCTTGTATGTCGCCCCATTCGCATAAGCCTCGGGGTGGTTTCCAACACATAAATAAATATCTATACAAATACATAAAAAACTGGAAACGTCCTGGCATAATAATTTAAAACCAATAAATAAAATCAGCAATTATTAAAATAACGTTTAAATAAAAAGGTCTTGGCCTGGTGCCAAAAAACAAATAACGACGGCACCAGGCGGACCTCTCTGGGGAGCACATTCCATAGGTGGGGCGCCACCGCAGAGAAGGCCCTCCTCCGGGTACTCACCCTCCTAATATCTTTCACAGAGGGTTCCCGGAGAAGGACCTATGCCACTGATCTCAAGGGGTGGGAGGGCAAAATATGGACGCAGGCGCTCCTTTAGATAGCTCCTTTAGTTGTAATTTGTAACTTCAGACACAAATCATTTTCCCTAAAAATTGAAGTCATATTTGGAACTTTGGATAAAGTTCTATCAGAAGCTGCAAAAATTAACTGATTTCCTACAGTACTGCAAATTCATTTACAGTTTTAGTAGAAACATATTCCATAATAAAACATGCATGACTATTTCCCTATGGCCAATTTTGTTCCTGGTACTTACTGTTTTCATTTTAGGTAAAAAAAGCCTGTTGTTTTCCTTTATGCACTCTATTTTTATTGATGTCCTTTCAGACTAATTGCTAGAAGACTATGCAATGCTTATGTCAACATGCTGTAATCAAGAATGGTTGCATCTCCTGCATATTCTCCAAAGGCAGCTTAAATCAGACAGTAGCAGAGTTTCAGCACATCCTGTGATTTCTCAGGGGGCTCTACAAGAAATCAGGCATCACTCATACCTGTAAATTCCTTTTTGCACCGGTCTCTGACGCTTTCTTCCAAGCCTTCAAGTTGTGATTTAATTTTTTCATACTCCCGTTCTGCTTGTTGGCTTTTCCGTCTATAAGGAATACAAACACAGAGTACAGAAAAAGTTACGGGATGTAAAAATAAATCATTTTACAAGGTAGCTGAGCAAAGAGCCAGAGGGATCTTTAGAAACAAAGTCTTTTTGCTCTTGATCTTTTAAAGCTGAGAAGGCAGAAGAAAAAGAAAACAATAAGCCAAAAGTTTAAGCTGGCATAAAATTAAAATAGCTGTGTTGATTTCGCCTCATCAAGGGCTCCTTAAAGTAAACCTCAAAGGACTAAACATGTCAATATTCAAGTATATGTTTTATTTAAAGTAACACTACTGGTTTTAGAATAAAGTTGAGTTACAATTGCTACTGCCTTTTTCCACAATTATTTCTGAATTTGGACTAAAGACTTCATCAGATGTTAGTTGTTTTTGTCAGTATGGTACTTAATGCCCAAATCAAATGAAGCTTTCCAACAGATACGTACACATTTCATTTTAAATTTTACTATCAATGAGTAGCAGTCAATTCACCCTTTGCATCATTTCTGTGTTTCTAGGAATTGACCAGCACATACATATCTATTCAGAAGGGAAAGACACTAAGAATCATGTTGTGATCAGCCTTTAAAATGTCTCAAAGGCATAGTCATGAATGTATATCAGGGATGCAGATCCTTAGACCTGGGAATAAAATTCAGCCCATCTGGAGGTGCCTGCCTCACCTCCCCCCTCAACCAAATGCCCCTACCCATTTCCCAGACTCCACTCCCCGTCCCCCAGACTCCAATTATGTGGTGGTTTCTTGGCTTGGTGCTGCTTTGTCCCATTCTAAAAGCCTGAAACATCTCTCTTAAACCTGAATTATTTGCAGTTAAGAGTTTTAAGTGAAAATATGCTGACATTTTTAGCTCTTCCCTTTTACTCACTCTATCTTCAGCTGAACTCACTGCCGAAATGATTGGAATGTAGCTATGGGAAGCTTCTCTGAAATGGAAGTTAGTTGTCTGGCTAAAAGAGGTTTTGCATCTCTGATATATAGCATGTAGATATACAGAATGTGTGGCGATTTCAACAGTCTGGAGAATACCAAGGGTCATGGTATCTAAATAGCTCTTCACCCATTGCCACCCATAAGATGATTAATAGATATTTTTCATCCACCAAGAAATACACATTAAAAGAACTCAGAATGCAAAAGTGATCTGGACTTTTCCAGGGGAGCTCACTCAGCCACAGCGATAAGAAACTAATAGCATGCCTACAGTCTTTCCTGCAAAATCCAAATATATTTGTATTTCAAGTAACATGGTTCACAAATTTTCTTTCATGTTGTTGTCCCATGAAAAATGTATGTAGCAAAATGGTCCCTTTGCTATTTTTGATATCATGTCAGTTAAAACCAACTGACTTTGCCAGTGGCGAATAACAAGCGGTTCTCCTAACGCTGTCCTTCTAAATAGAAACAGACCTTTGTGAACAAAAGGAACAATCAGAAATATTTTTCTTTGTATTTTTCTGCAGATGCATTTTTCTGCATTCGCACGATTTGGCATTTCAGTAATGTCTGATGATACCCGATGAAAACTACATCTTACCTGTAGCAATAGATTGAGATGAAGATAATGGCCACCATGGGAATTATCACCAATGGCAAGATCAAGCTCAAGGGTATGTCACTCACTTGCGTATATTCCACTCTTCCTAGAACCCATTCTTTGAAGCCAAATTTCACCTAGATAAATAATTACACTTTGTAATATGCATCAAAGGTCTCAAAGTGATTTTTTATGCATTATGATACCGAGCACTTCGTCTTTTCCCACTATTTAATCTACTGTGTGCAAGTTCCCTGATGCACCCAATTAGTAGTTTAGCCCAAGTAGTACAATGGTTTCAAATTTAGGCTATATAAACTCTTTCCTTATAGAATAACCTGAGTGCTAAATGATTTCATTCACTCATTAACATTCGCTATAAGGTAAGAAGTGAAAATTGCCAGACTGGGAGGGGGCAATGGCAGGGAAATGTGTAAGGAAGTCACAGAGGCATGTGCAGACTTTGTCCAAAACAAAACCAACCAACCAGAGAGGAAACTTCAGCATTAATATCACATTTGCCTTGAAATGTTTACTCCACCTTTTGGCTCTAATTGGGCCCCCTAGTCAGTTTCTAAATTAAAACCTAGAAAAAACAAAAACCAACAGAATAAAATCAATTACATAGCAATGAGGAAAGAGTGTAAAAATAGGTCAGCTTAAAATAATGCAAAACTGCAGCAAGAAATTAAAAACTCAGGACAGATACTGCAAAATAAGAAAATCTTTGCCAGTGTCCTGAAGCTGAAAAGAAAGGAAGTCAATCAAACTTCTCTACAGAAGAAACTCTCTGCAGAGGAAATATAAGTGAGCAGCCACAGATGTGAAGGCTGGCACACATTCCAGACACCAAAAGGTGGCAGGACTTGAGCAAGACTTTGGATGGTGCCCAGTGCACAGTTTGCGTAGAAAAAACGGGAAAGCTGCAGCCTGTGAAAAAGTTGTGATGTTATTGGTCTGAAGATATGATGGGAGAAATAGCAGGATGAGGATGGGTTGGGGTGTTCTGTGGCATGCTAGCAAGTCAAGCGTGGCAACACTGGCAAAAACATCTAGTGCAGCTAGTGTCCCTAAAAAGGACATTGCTTCTCCAAAGTAACTTCCACATGCAATTTGAGAAATATGCCCATGATTCCCAGGATGCACCTCTGAAATCACACAGTTTTATCGATGCCCCTAGAAGCGCTAAACAAACTCATGTTACAGTAGCGGCACAGCAGCCTTCTCCCACCTGGCGTCTTCTAGATGTATTGATCAGAACTCCCCCTGGCTGTGCAGGCCTGGGGATGATGGCACTTATAGTTCAACACATAATGAGGGCACCAGGCCTTAAGAAATAAAAGGAACAGCGTGACTGCTTCGCTTTCTACACAGGGAGTGCAGTGCCAGGGCAGTTTTTCTTTTGCCAGTGTTCCAGGGAAGAACACATTATGTGTGAAGGAAGGCTTTTTATTAGTGTCACTTAATACAAGATAGGCCCTGTGCTACATTCTTCGTATACATTGTTAAAAACACAGAAAAATGTGACATACGATGAATTCTGGCAGGTTATTAACCGTATCTCTCTTCTGCCTTCGCTTGGGTGGGGGCTGCTCTTCAGGTGGTTCACAGTATAAATCCTTCTCAGTCAGGGTGGTGATGTTACATGGCTCCTCTCCCACAAATGCACGAGCCTCATCCATTGTCATGGCTTTGTTCAGATTACTGCCCTAGACAGAAATATAGGGCAACTTAGCCATTGTAGCTATCAGTTTATTTCAGGTTGTTTCAGGGAGTGGGGGCAGGGAAAAAACAAGGACAAAAATTCTAGGATTAATGCATTAATCCTTTGCACAGATTCATCCTAAACAGAGGAGTTGGAAGAAGAAATACTCTGAAGATAGTTGCAGACTGTGGTAATCTGTGATCTTGTTTATGTAAGCTGTTCCTGCAGGACAACAAGAGGACAAGCCTTGATTTACAATGTCCAATACTCTTCCCCATCACTGGTGGCAACAGGAGGTATGGAGACGATCAAAGAAAGCTAGACTGGAAGCACTAAATTCCAGATTACGGCAGCAGATAATGAGTGGAAACCCCATCGATAACAGAAAATGAGAAGTATTGCTTAGAGCTAAAGATAGATTCTGTCCCCTAGAAGTCAGGAAAAAAGTAATTTATTCTATCACACTGTACCAGTATCTGAAAACAGTTAACAGAATTATCCTAACTATACTCATCAGCATATGCAAATAGTATTTACCTAGGAAAGCACCCCCCCCCCCCAATAAATACATATTGGCTATATATGGAGGAGAGAGAGAAGCTCTTTTCCTGAAGCACACTTACTTTTGCATGAATAAGTTTGTTGACCTGCTTTTTGATACCATCAGTGAAGTTCTCAAAGGTTGGATCAGCAACATATTGAAAGTCTCTTTGCACTGTGTGACCATCCATTTTAATAAGTATAGCAATTCTATAGTTTTCGGGATCATCCAATACTGGTGGAGATAAGAAGACCATTGCAGTATCATTGATTTTTGAGACAGTTTTCCCTTCAAACTAAAAAAAAAAAGAGAGAGAGAGAGAACATTGGTCATTAGTACTTAAAATATGCATTTTCTCTTAAAAAGTAAACTTAAAATAAATCTGTCACAATCTTGTTTATTCTAGTGCATTTTTAAAAACTGATAATTTGTAAGGTGGGGAATGGGTGAAATTGGGCAATTGAACATTTCTCTATCCTATTAAAAGACAACAACTAAGTGATACTAATAAAGTTTTGCATGATTTTAGGCTAGAATACAGTGGAAGATATATTGTGGTATTCAAGCAGGAGTGAACAGTGCATTTCTGAAAGTAATGGATAAATGTTTTAAATGGGCTGAATTTTCACCATCTTTCACACACCAAATGTGTGAGTTTACTGTTCTTTCCTGAAACCATAATGGGCGGATTTTAACTTTGTGACCTGCCTTGCTACAGAAATGACCAGCATAGAAAAGCTGCAAATAATACAAAACATTTTACTAATCATTTCTTCACAGTCAAAATCCCTTCCAGATTAAACTCCAAATTTATTTTATTTATTAACATTATATCTCGCTTTTTTCTTTTTTGGGTAACTCAAAGCAGCTCACATCATTCTCCTCCTCCTGTTCTCAAGCTTATCCCCATAAGAACAACCCTGTCAGGTAGGCCAGGCTGAGAGTCTGTGACTGGCCCAAAGTCACCCAGGAAGCTCCATGGCTGAGCAGGGATTACAATCTGGCTTGCCTGAGTCCTAGAACCGTGCTCTTAACCACTACACCGTGCTGGCTCTTATATGCCTTGGCGTTTGCCTTGGCCCAGTGGTGCAGTCAGTCTAAGTCTGCACTTAACCTGCAAATAAGCACCCAGATGGAGAGCATCAGAAGCACTCTATTTTATCCCTGTAGTCATGATTGTGTATAATTTCAGTGGGCTGAAAATGTGAAATTGCATATACTCTGAGGCTTTTTATGGCTGACAAACTGTCTTTTGCTGTATCAATAACTGTATGTAATTGTACTGTATCTTCGCAGTACGATTACATGCAATTCTTACCTTCCCCTCATCACTCCTGAGGATATCCCCTAAACCCCTTCTCCAAAGTTGTTTGAATAATCATGGGCTGGCTGAAAATGGGGGGCGGGGGATGCTATAAGCTGCCATATTGCTCTGCCCATGATTATTTAAACTCATGTTGTTAATTGCCTTGTGCATTCCCCTTAAGCAGATCAGTCATTCATACAAAAGCTTTAAATTTATTTAAGAGAGTGAATGAAAAAAATAAAGTCAAAGAAACATTTAATGCACATGTTGGCTGTTCTTTCTATCCTTTACTGTAATACTTTGTTAATAAACATACAAAAATTATGTTTAAACATTTTCATTGCCTTTTTCCATTGTGCTGCAACCAATTACCATAGTTTACATATACAGTAAGTATAACTTCGAATAGTGTGAATTTGAATAATGTGACCACTTCATGGAATTCATTATCCTCACTAATCGAGACCTAGCCATACTTTAAATTTGTAAGAGAACCTTATTTTTTTAAACATTTTGGATTTTTCTGCACTGTCATGAATATGAATGAAATCACTGATTCCTAAATTAAATGTTGGCTCCTAAATATATCCATATTCCCAAAATTATACTGGTATCCATTTTCCCACTGCCTGTTGAATTTTTGAACACTCTGCTTGAAACAACCACCAGCAGGTAAATGTAATGCCAGCAGGTAAAACAACAGCCAGTTTTCAGCAAGGCGAAAACAGATACTGAGTAGCTGGTGAATATCAGCAATAGTAGAGACATGTAAATCAATGTCTAACACTGCATGGTAAATGTTTACTGCTAATAAAAGTCACTGTTAGCGTTTCATGGGTCTATGTCTGAAAACTGGGGGAAATGTTCATCTATTTCTGGCTATTTTCAACTTTTAGCATTCAATGTGAATGAGAGCATTCACCCAAATCTTGGAAATATGTTCCTGAGGGCCTTCAGAAGCATCTGAACACAGAGAAACAAATGTATCAAAAGTCTTTCAATTATGGCCTGTTTAGACCCTGTCCAGTATGCATCTGTCTATGAAGTAGGGACAGTTCCTACCTTTTGTGACTCTGCTTGTCTCTTCCTCCTCTTCCTTGATGAGGAATCTTCATAAGACTTAAAAAGAACTTCCACAGAGAAATTCTGAATGATATCAAAACCAGTTCCAACTACAGTAATATTCCGCCCTCCACTGAAATACAAAAAACACAAATAAAACTATATATGCCTTCTACTTCTATTTCTGTTCAACTTTACATCTACTTTAATTATTACATACTACTAGTTATCTTGGGTGGAGAATGATTAAATGCATGTTAAAGAGTTGGTGGCTGAGTTCACACACAATGACTACCCACGGATAAGCTATGATCAGTTTGGGTTGTTTTGCAAAGAAAACACGATTAGTCCAACTGACAATCGAACTCATCATGGGTACTTCACTCTCTCCTTCCCTCTCATTCCTCCAGTCTCCTTTGTCTTACAGCTGCAAGAGTGAACTGACTTCACTCTTGTTGCACAAAGTGGGCCTGTGCTCTTTCATCCCCAAGCAAAATAAGAATACAGGCATCTTCTTTGTACCTGCAGGGCAAACATGTTATAAAGTCCAATGGGGAGGATGGGGGCCTGATCACACACCAGCAAGGGGAAGCAGATCCTGGCCATCCTTTCTGGTGAACAAAAGGTCTATTCTCAGTAGTAAGGGTGGCTGCTGTGTGCTGCTGTGGGTGGGGGAAAACTTCTGAGAGCAGGCCCCAGGTACTGCTTAGGCACTTTGGAGGCCACTGTCAGTAGCATTCATGTAGCAGTTGCCTGTCAAGAGTTTTGGGGGGATTTTAGTCACTCTTGCTAAAAGGCTCTCTGGATTCAGACGACATGACAAACCATCATGGGTGACAGCAACCCTAGAACAGCCCATCAGGTCTCAGGGTGGATTGACTGGGGAAAAAAAATGCCACCCTAGGAGATCAAGCCTGTTTTTGCATGCCATGACAATTTGCCTATGATAAAAAGGTCGTTGTTCATCAGAACCATGCCAATGTCTAATCTTAATAAGGAAATTCTGTCCTTAGGAAAAGTAAAAAGAGAACGATGTCTGCTTCCAGTTCTAATCTCAATGTTAGTTGCATTTCAATCTTCCAAAAGCAAAAGGGAGGCAGATGGTACAAAGATGTTTGCTGGTTTTCCTGTGACAGACAAGTCAATTATATTACACACAGATCATGTGAGAGTCATTTTGCTTTCTGCAGACTGGCAAAACTTGGTTCATTATGTGGTTGTTCACACTAGTCACCATGGTTGTTTGAGCCTCTGTAGATTGGCTTAGGCAGCTCATTAAAAATGTTAGATATGTTCCTTCACTCAACAAGACACTTGTAAATGGTTGATGGTGCAGGAGTCCCACAAACTGTAGAATACAGAAATCTCCCCCATAATCTATGCTCTCCCCTCAGAAATTTAACATATGGGCAGAAATCTTTGATTAAATATGATGAAGCTACACCACACAAGAGAATTCTGCACCTGGTCAGCAGAAAAACCAGCCCAATGCATGTAGAGGATTTGGCTGAACTTTGCTGCTTTGCCTGTCTCTTAGGGACTGCCTGACTGTTTATGTTCCATACAGAGATTGTTGTATGTTATTAGCAAGTCTATATTATAGATACTGTTATGAACAAGGCACATAAATTGTTTAAGCAGGCACTGACAAATGTTATGCAAAAGTATTTTAAGGTAATAATTTTGATCAGCTCCTATATTTTGTAGTGCATGCAGCTTGGTAAGAGGCTAGAAATGTAAGATACTGGGACCTAAAGACATAGCACTAAACTTATCAAAGGAGTGTTTGTCTCTGTGATGCAATTCAAAAAACAAGACACTCAGAGCCCAGAGGTGAGAATATTCCCTTTTATTCCCACTTTTAGAGGTGAGAATATTCAAAAGACAATCCCCCTAAGGTTGATGTTATCACAAAGTCAAATTGTATGACTGGCAGCTGAGTTTTAATGCCAAAAGTATAGCCATTTGGATTTCAGGTTAAGCTACAGGTAAATGGCAAAGCTCATGCTTTGTAAAGAGAAGGCCCCAGTCCATAGCCTCTCCAGGTGCAAACCTGAAAAACAGCTGCCTGGAACCCTATGGAGCCCTGGACAGTCACTGTAGACAATACTGAGCTTGATAGGGCAGCTTCTAACATTAATGACAAGACAGAACCTTTTGTTTCCTGTCTATTGGAGACCACTATGACTCAGGGATTAGGGGGATGTCTAATATGGCTAACTATTGAATGAAATTAAATGAAATAATATAGATACAGGCATTTGTGGGTATCTTCTTGAACCACATTGGGCCCCCTTTGTGGGCATCACGGAAGGTGATCGTGTCATGGTAACTGTGGACTAGACTGGAAATCCCTGCAATTAACAGTCCTAAGAGCAGCCAATACATCTGACACTTATACTTGAATGAAGAAAGGTCTGACTTCCCTGAAGGTAATGACTTATTTCAGAAGAAAGATACAATCATGCTATATTTACTGTGATTACTTAGACCAGGGTAGCAGTTATCTAATAATTACATGGCAAGAAAGGAAAACACGATTTCAGCTTATTAAAACTGAACACATCTCTACAGTAGGAGTTTTTTTTTAACCTGCGAATGCTGACTTCAGGGGTGATCTTGCTAACCGTAGGGTTTTCGCTATAGATAAATTGTTCATTTTGTATTATTTTTTTGCTATGTCCATGATGTACTGTTACGGAAACAGGTCCTTCTTTGGTATTTTGTCCAGTAATGCAAACAATTTCTTGTCCGAATCGGGTGCTAAGTTAAAGAAAAGGAGAATAAATCATGTTATAAACAATGATATTATCAAGGCACACACATTCCTTTATACAAATGGTCCACGTTAAAATTGCTATACGGACTACAGAAAAGAAACAGTGAATCAGGATAATCAGGAGCATATGAGAAACCAAGTTCACCACTAGGCAACAGGAGGAGTCTTTTCTTGGCAGGAAGCAGGGAGAGTACAAGAATGGCAAAGGAATGGCATGACCCGCACTGCTTGTCCTTAGGATTATGCCATTTTAGGTAGCTCTGCTCTCCAGCTATTCACAGCAACACTGGAAACAAGGAAAAACTATCTTTGTTTTATGCTTGAGCATTCAGTACTTTTTCAGCTGAGGGAAAAAAAACACAAATAGGGCTATGAATGGATAGAACCAGGTCACCTATATCTCCAAACTGTTGTTGGGGTACCAGGAAAGCTTCTGCATTTCCTGTTTTAAGCCTGCCATCTTTCCAGGTTCCCTAACAGGTGGGCTACCAATTGTTTTAAATTGTCAGCAGAGAGTTAATCAATAATATTGCAGAGCTCCTGCTGCCATGATGCCAGGAACTTATGGCCTGTTTCAATCCAGTTCTGCTCATGATTTTTAACCCACTCATCCCATTCAGATATTTGAGAACTGTCCTAACTTTTTGGTCCTAAAACCAGGTTTTATGGAGGTTGCCTGCTTTATGTGAGACCTCATGCTCAAGTTCTCTGGAAATCCATTGCAATATGGATGCATTTTATAAAATAAGTGTAAAAAGCACTTGCTCCTGCCTTTCTTTTTCTCCCTCTTTTCTAACTCCATCTTAGATGTCTTCAACACCCAAAGCAAACAGAAGATAAATTTAAGAGTGTTTATATCTATTTATGACATCAGATTTGCAGACAACACTATGAGGCTTCTATACAGATTATCTATTTCCTTGTCTCTTGATTCTAACACTGACACTGGTAGCAGTTAATGTTCTATACTCCAATCCTTTTATGTTAATCTTGGGAATTTTGCCAAAAGCAGACTTTCTAAAATACGATCCATCTATTACAGAATTTTCCTGTCTTCTTAAAAGACTTCCTTCAGCCATAATAATCCCCACAGCACATCATCATGTGGACAATATTATTTTTTGTCTTGAATCAACAGGAAACATTTAGCAGGATAAATCTACCATCATCCCTGCTTCTCACCTACAGGAAGTAATCACATGCTTTAATCTCATTTTTCAATACATTTTCAGTAATTTCAAAATTCCCTGCCCACAGTGGTTCAGCTCATAGAGTATTGGCTTTTTTTTTTTACTGTCAGTCATTCCTTCTCCACTTTTGAGACTCATCTAGGCATGCATGAGAATTTTGTTCCTGTATGCAAAGCATACCAATGATTATAAACCATTTACAAACCTTAATGTGAGCAGGCACATATTTCCTGGAAAACATTAGCCATTTCCTAAGCTTGTATTTGTGCTTGAAAGTGTGCATGTGCAAGTGTGCATTTCTGAAAATACACCCTTCCCTCTCAAAACCACATTTTCATCCTTTAGCTTATGGGTGAAAGGTGTGCATTTGGAGTGTGTGCTTAGAAAAGTCTATTAAAATGCACACTTTTCCTATTAAAAAAGAAGAGCCATTTAAGAATGAAAATGAGGTAAGACAAGAATCAAGATGGAAAACACCATCTCTCATTCCTAAACTTACCATATAAAAATGGTGGAGCTCAACCTCATTATAGCCTAAGAAAATTGGACAGGCCCACAAGTACATGATAAGAACTAAGTTAGCATAAATAATCCATTATGTTACTTTAGGTACAATCCTGGTTTCTTTATTTCTCTTTATTTTGAATCTTGAAGCTTTGGTAATTGGCTTAATATGTCTGAACTGTTTCCCCTGAAGTACATTTTGTAGAGATGGAAACATGCGAAAGTATGAAGCCAAGATGACTGAATATTCTGTTGACATACAACAGTATAATATAAATGGCACAGCCGTAGCTAAGGTGGTGGTGGGGAATCAAGGTGTGTAAGAGGAAATAGGTGCCTTTATACTTACACTCTGCAGGGTTCATTATCAAGGTAAACTTTAACATCCTGAATAGAGCCAGTGTCCAAGTTTGTGCCTCTGATAGTTAGGGCTGTCCCCCCAGCCTGGGGTCCCTTCTGAGGACATATGCCTGTAGGTTCAGGATCCTGTTTGAAGAAATGGTTAGAAACAGACTAAAATAAGTTTTTATTCTAACAAAAGCACTTTCTAAGTATAGTAGTAATGCTTATCTGTAAAAAGAAAAGAAAAACGGATCAGTGGAGAAGAAATGAAAGAGATTATGGGGATACTCATATTTGAAGCTTATACCACTATAAGCTGCTATTGATTTCAAGGCCCAAGCTACAACGCTGTGGATAAGCTGTCTATTCATTTTTTTGGAGGTTTTCTTTTGAGTTTACTGGATCCAGCCTTCATTTCAGTGCTCAGCCCCACATTCTACCCCATATACATTTTGGAGATTTGACTGTATGTTAATGACATAAGCCACTAAAGCTAGTTCGGGTGTTATAGCCAAATGTGAAAGTAGTAAAAAAGTTTTGATATTTGTAGCAAAGGCAGCACTAGTCACCCATGCTCAAAAGGAAAATATCAGTATGGGACTACTTGCATCATTTGTGACCCGCTGTCTCATATACCAGAACAACACAAGATTAATAAACATCCTATCTAAGACTGCAAAATAGAGTGATGTTTTTCAGGCCAGTAGGCTGCATTCTACTTGGCGATCACATGATGCACAGACCTGACCTGGAGACCGAGTCCAGAAATGTTATGAGAAATAGCTGTTTCCTAAGTAAATAAAGAAGCTTTGTGACCTTGCAAATACTGCTGTAAGCTGATCCACTAACAGGGTTTTTAAAATGGTAATCTATGCCTGTGTTTGGATTAAAACCTGTCATATAAAAATGGCATTGAAGTTGCATCCAAAGGGAGAAATGAGATGGAAACACATATGTGGGGGGACCAAAAAAACCCCCAGGAATTTATAAAAATTGTGTATTTATTTTTACATATTCAAACTTCAATCACCTTCAAAGTACTCAGCATTTGATACAATGCACCTATCGAGACTTTTTTCCACTGCTCAGAAAAGGTTTTGAACTTGTCGATCTTGATGCCTTTTAGTGCTTCTACTGTTTTTTGTTTCACCTCTTCCACACTGGCAAAACGTTTCCCTTTGAGGATTTTTTTACACCCAGGGAAAGAAGAGAAAGTTGCATGGGGAAAGATCAGGTGAATAAGGAGAGTGGGACAGAAGGGTCATGCCATTTTGGTCAAAAACTGCTGAACACTCAGCTGAACCAAATTTCACTGCTGCATGTTGTTCGTGTAAATCAGCCATCAAAAAATAGGCAAACACATTGAAAGAGTCTCCAAAAAACCCACAAAAAACCTCACTAAAGCCGTACGCAGCCTCTCACAACAATGCTGCTTGGTACACTGATGCAGATGTATTCCTTGAATACTCTCCTACTGGGGAAAGCCCTCCAGAAGGTAATTTCTTGATTTTTTTGCCCCCCCCCCCCTGTACATTGTGTCCTCCAATACCTCTTCTTTCACTGAACTGTAGGCCTAGGACAGGAGTGGCAAAGATGAGATGAGAGATACTGTAAGATCCAAAATAAAGGCTGCACTGCTGCACTTAAAACATGGGAAGCGAGATCCCCAGCATCTTTAAACTGGACCAGTCCACTTCCCTGAGCTCAAGGTAAGCACTTTTGTAAAGGCTCAACTAAACTGATGACTTTGACTTTTTTATAAGATGCTTTTAAAAATTATTTCTCTCATTTTTTACAATACGACAGCCAAGTATTAATCAGTTACTCATCTGAAAACAGATGCACTCAATGGGTTGACGCATCTCACTGATCTGCCCTGGCAATAAGCTGTAATGGAGGGATTGTTGTGTGTGTAACCCATGGTGGCACCCAACATACAATCAGGCTCTCTGTGGGTTGTTGTTCCCCCTCTTCCCCTTGGTTCTCCAGGTGGTATTTTATAGGATTTACTGATTCTATTCCCCATTCAGTCATGAAGACCCTGGGAGAGTTTGAATCAGTCACTGCCGCTTAGTCCACCCTACATCACAGGGTTGTTGTGAGCATAAAAAAGGGAGAGCAGATAAATTTGTAAGCTTCGTTGGGCTCCTTTCAAGATGAAGAAAAGTGGAATGTAAATGTAATACAATTATAGTAATACTCTAGCAAGGAAAGAAAATATACTTCCCTAAAATTCCCTTTCTAAGCCTCACAGGTTTGTTGGGAATACACAGTATGATTTATTCTCGTATTTCCTAGTTTGAGTTCTATAAGAAAGAAGAACACTCGTGGGGTATGCTGCCTTTTGTTGCAAGTTCCACTTGTAATATGAAACTTTTAAGACACTTTATATAAAAAAGAAGTGCCAAAGAAATTAGAAAAGTAGTGATTCAGATGGAATATCAAAAATATTTGAATAAGCAGATATTTATAGCTGTTTGCCTGAAAGCATGCTTAGGCAGCATTTGGGGATTAGGGATGTTTCTATTATATACTCTTTAAAGAGCAAGATAAGCATAATCTGTTAACATAAACTGTTAAAAATGGACACCAATTGACAGAAGCACAGACTAAGTAATGGGGAAGTCTTCCTACTTTCTTCTCTGCTGTTCATAATGCATTAGCGTTTGCTTTGAATGTGGCTGGATTACTTGCCAAAAGATATCATGAATCTCTTTCTTTTCTGTACTGCAGTAAACTTCTTACCCAGTAATAGTGCCAATTCATCTTTTATCCAGGCATACCCTCTTGTGGAGTATATTAGCTTATAAGCTACAGGAGTAAAGGCCTGTAATAGATGGTTTTTGATGGATTCCAGACAAAACTGGCCAGGGTTTGATTTTACAACACATAAAATGGGCTACACTGGCTTAGGCTTGGTTTCTAGCTGTGGCTTGAGTATATTCATTACATGCTGTGAACTAAATTGCAGCTGTCTATTGCTCTACAGAAGCAGGTATTAAATGTGGTCCTAGTTCCAAAAATATGAATTCCAGAGACATATTTATCCTTGTATAAGCAAAGGACCTCCTGGCTCTTTTTCCCCTGTGTTGTTCAGTTGGGATATTACAACTTAAGCCGCTTTCCTCTAGAACTGGAGGCTGAGGGTCCCCATCTGGCCCACTAGTTAACCCCAGATGGTCACATTCCCTGTCTTAGTTGGGACCTACTTCTTCCCAACTGCAGGTCATTGAGTAGTTGCTCACCCTTAGTGCAGTTTTTCCTCCATTCTACAATGTTGAAAAGCTTCTCCTTAAGGCTTCGTCACTGCCAACAAGAACTTCAAGATAATATATGCTGGTATTTGGGCCCTTGCTCCTTTTGCCTCTGGTTCACATCCTTCCCCTCTCCTTGCTGACCACTAGACTTCAGCATTCAAAAGATTCTCTAAAGTGGAATTTGGCCTTCAAGCTGAAAGAAGTTCAGTTTCCCTACTTGATAGGCAGCTGCTGGTCATATTAAATCCACATTGCTTTTAGTACAGACCTATTATGATGTCTCAAGCACTTTATTGCCCATACTCTAGAAATACATATAGCTTAATTACGTTTGGATGGACAACTGTAATCTGCCCTAAACAGCCAGTGTAATAGGGACTATAGGAGGGGATCTCCTGTGTTTATACCAGTTTCTGAGGTGTTTAGGGGGATGTGTGTGTGAGAGAGATCGTTTTATATCAATTTCTGAGAAATGTTAGGGAGATGCAAGAGAGAGAGGCTTTTCAGTGGTTGTGGACAAGCTTTGGAACTAGTTCAGAGAGGTCTGTTAGCCTCATCTCTGTTAGACTTCTGCATGCTGGCAGATTTTCTCTTCTATTCTGGTAGCCTTTTAACCTTTTAACAGTTTACTCTTACTTTTGCCCCATGGTTTTATCGCTGAATTGCTCTTTGGCTGGGTATTTAAAAAATGTTTACATGCATTGTTTTATCTCTACGTTTTTGATTCTTACTGTCTCTTTGATTCACTTTTATACGTGTTATTGCTTTGACCATTTTGTTAATTTTAGCTGATTTGGTGTTTCTGTACATAAGTGGGTTATACATTTAACAAAAGAAAAACAAAATAAGAACAAAACAAGAACAAAACTTCCCATCGACCTTATGTTTGTTATAGTGCTTAGTTGTTCCATTAGTGACTCAGACCTAGCTACCATTCTTTCTTAAGATACTTTTGGTTGTGTGCCATCAGGATGGCTCCAACTTAAGGGCAATCCTATGAATGAAAGCCTTCCAAAATTCAAGGCTGTAGTACTTGTATGGAGTCCATCCATCTCATATTTGGTTTTATGATATTGTTCATATACAACTGCAGGTGAAATACTCTAAGTAAACATGCAGATTGAATCTGGATCATGCAGTTACCATAAAGAGTAGATTCATGGGATAGTAGATGGACATTAATATAGCTTCAAGTGCTGAATTTGGTTTGCCTGACAAAGCAGCTGAATCATACTGATTTACAAGAGTTGGTCACACTGTGCTTTAGTTGCACAATCATGTGCTTTTGTTAAGACAGACTAGGGTATGTCAGTGCCCATGCAAAGCACATGAGGATTGTTCTTTATTTAGCCATGACAAGAAGTAAGAAAAGGCTGCAGTTATTTTGAATGATCTTTACAGGAACAGCAACACACTCTGAAATTGGTAGTTCCTTTCTTATTCCTACAAGCACTAGTTTTGCAGAAGCTGAGGCAAGCAGACTTCTCTGCAAAATTTATTTAATGTTCAGTAGACTTGCCCTAGAATGGGATTCAATGCAGTGCACTGCAAATAGCAATTAACATTTAGCTTTGATATTGAAGAGAAGAGCACTTTCATAAAGCCTAAGGAACTTTTCAAAAATTTTAATTGTGCGTCAGATGGTATTTACTCCCACATAAGAAGGCTACATTGCGTGTTACGCTGAAGTCTTAAGAAATAATATATGTCTATGGTATGCTTTTCCCATCTCCCTTTTCTCAGGTCTCCACAGGATGAAAGTCACAATTCAGGGAAATATCTTGAAGCAGAACCCACAGGAGCTTGTCTTGTCCTAGCCTTTTTGACATGAACGGGAGTGATGCAGTAAGACACACCCTGAACTCATAATTATTGCATCCAAAATCA